TCGTCTTACCCAGGAGGCAGATGCAGTTTATCGTCTTACCCAGGACGCGGATGTAGTTTATCGTCTTACCCGGGAGGCAGATGCAGTTTATCGTCTTACCCAGGACGCGGATGTAGTTTATCGTCTTGCCCAGGACACGGATGTAGTTTATCGTCTTACCCAGGACGCGGGTGTAGTTTATCGGCTTACCCAGGAGGCAGATGTAGTTTATCGTCTTACCCAGGACACGGATGTAGTTTATCGTCATATCCAGGGCGCTAATGTTTCTCTTCCTAATTCTTACACACCCTTCAATCCCTTGTGTCTTAGTGGCTTTACTGCCTTGCAAGGGGTGATACCGATTTTAAAAAGGGGGAAAAACAATACTGTATTAGAAAACAATTTCCCTTAATGTCGAAACTACTCTTTCAAAATGCGTACATCTTCGGCGCCAATGTTAGCGGTAGTGGGGTGATACGGCCCCTCAATTTTGCCTGAATCGAGTACTAAACAATGTCACTTTGGCCTCAATCTATGACAATGCTATTGAGCTGAGCCATCTCATTTGCCTAAAATCATCCCTACCATTAAACTCATTTTTCGAATGTTTTTTTTTTTTTTAACTTTTAAATATCTTTTCTTTCTCGTCGAACTCTTTTCTAGCTTCCTGCTTTACTTTCAATTGAGATCCTCAAAACTTTAATTGCAACGTCAATCGCCATCTTCTCTCTTCGAAACCTGTTCTTTCATTGTCCAGTTGGTTTCTTTTACTCTCGGTAACCCCTGTGCATCCTAATGGCATTTATCGCAATGCTTTGAGGTGAAATGATTTAATAAAAAAGAAGTACAGCTTGTCAGGTTAAGATAAATTTATTGAATTCATTGACAGATATTACATTTATTCTTTGTGAGTTTCAAACGCGGAAAATGTCTTATTCCAGAAAATAAGTAAAAGAGAAAAACAAAAACAAATATTTATTTTATGTCTGAATTTCTGGGATGAGGAATTATCATAATTTATAGTATTTGCATTCGGACAATTGTCCTCATCTTTGTTGTTAACGAATTTAGGTAATAATATCACAGCTAAAAATGGCACTGATAAAATGGCATAAATGGAAAATGACTTTCATGATGGGGTTTTGGTAGAGCCACAGAGATCAATGGTATGTACTTGAAGGTTCTTGGACAACTGAAGCAGAAGTAAATAAACAGACAACTGTCCTTTGATTAGAAATTTAACTTTAAATCGATTAAAATTAAACAGCTACTGGTGTTTAATTTTAAACTGTTTAAAGAGTCTGTTTTTCACTTGTGCTATTTTGTCCTATTTATCACTTGTGCTATTTTTCACTTGTGCTATTTTGTCCTATTTATCACTTGTGCTATTTTGTCCTATTTTTCACTTGTGCTATTTTGTCCTATATATCACTTGTGCCATTATTATTAGGTTGGTGCAAAAATAATGACGTAATAATGTCGTTTTTTTGACGTATTTTTTAACGTCAAAAAACGACATTATTACGTCATTATTTTTGCACCAACCTAATACTTGGACAATTATTTCAAATGCGGAAAATGTCTTATTCCAGAAAATAAATATAACAGAAAAGCAAAAACAAATATTTATTTTATGTCTGAATTTCTGGGATGAGGAATTATCATTATTTTCACTATTTGCATTCGGACAATTGTCCTCACCTTTGTAGTTATTTACGAATTTAGGTAATAATGGCACATGTAATAATTATAAAAATGGCATAAGTTGAAGAACATCTCCATCTGATAATAGTTAATCTTATAATCTGTATCCCTATATCCATGGAATCAAACTTTCTGTTTACTTGATGTGACTTCTAAATTTGACGTTCTGACTTCAGTCTATGGCAATGCTATGGAGTTGAACTCTATCATTTATCTAAAATCATTACTGCCATTAATTTTCAAAATAAATCAGAAAACTTTACTTAACGTTTTTTTTTTATATCCGAAACATTATCTTCTAAAGTTTTTACAGGAGTCTTACAATTTTTTCGTAGGTCTCGTTTCAGAAAATAAATACAATCGAAAAGAAACAAAATGAAAAATGTATGTAAAATTTAAAATCAAAACAAATAAAAATACTCGGTTATAATGTTCATTTTAACGAGAGGACCAGATTAAATATAGAATCAAAAATCATTAAAACGTAGCATTTGACTAATATCTATTTTATGGTAACCTAATTGTTAAGTCCTGTTATGTCTTGATTGTTAAGTCCCGATTGTTAAGCCCTGATTTTAAGTTGATTGTAAGTCCTAATAATTAATTCCTGTTACGTCTTGATTGTTAAGTTTTGTTACGTCCTGATTATTAATCCCTATTATGTCCTGATTGTGAAGTCCTGATTGTTAAGTCCTTATTGTTAGGTCCCGATTGTTAAGTCCTAATAGTTAAGTCTTATTACGTCCTGATTGTTAAGTCCTGATTATTAAGCCCTGATTGCTAAGTCCTGAGAGTTAAGTATTACTACGTCCTGATTGTTTTCTTTTAAGTCCTGATTATTAAGCCCTGATTGTTAAGTTTTGATTGTTAAGTCCTTATTGTTACGTCCCGATTGTTAAGCCCTGATTGATAAGTTCTGATTTTTAAGACCTAATAGTTAATTCCTGTTACGTCTTGATTGTTAAGTTCTGTTAAGTCCTGATTATTAAGCCATGAGTGTGAAGTCCTATTATGTCCTGATTGGGAAGTCCTTATTGGGAAATCCTTATTGTTAGGCCCCCATTGTTAAGAACTGATTGTTAAGTCCTTATTCTGTTAAGTCCTGATTAATTAATCCCGATTGTTAATTCTTGATAAGTCCTGCTTTGTTAAGTCCCAATTATTAAATCCTGATTGATTGTTAAGTTCTGTTGAGTCCTGGTTGTTGTTCTGTTAAGTCCTGATTATTAAGCCCTGATTGTTAAATTCTGTTAAGTCCTGATGGTTAAATCTAGATTGTTAAGTCCTGATTGCCAAGTTTTGATTTTTAAATCACGATTCTTAAGTTCAGTTAAGTCCCAATTGTTACGTCCTGATTGTTAATTCTTGATAATTCCTGAGTCGTAAGTCTTGATTGTTAACTGTTGATTATTAAATCCTGTTAAGTCCTGATCGTTAAGTCCTGATTGTTAAATCATGATTCTTATGTCCTGATAGATAGATAGATAGATAGATAGATAGATAGATAGATAGATATTATCTCAAATATAGCTAGCTAGCTAGATAGATATTATCTAAAAAATAATTTATACAATCTAAGAATATTTTCTGTCTTTAAATAACCTGCAAACGGTTGATATGCCGTACAAACCGAATCTATCTATCTATCTATCTATCTATCTATCTATCTATCTATCTATCTATCTATCTATCTATCTTAGCAACAGTCCCGATTCTTTTTTATCAAACCTCGTATAAACCGATTACGGAAAAGAGTCACCATGAATTGTTTGGTTAGTTTAATGTATTTGGGAAATATATTAGAATAATAAGCCCTCTTGATTATTAGGTCCTGAGTGTTAAGTCCTGTTACTATCTGATTGTTAAATCCTTAAAACTTTGCATCTGATTTAGCTGCACCCCCTCACTTTTAAAATCTAATTTATCCCCACCACGCACCTAAACACATACGCACTTTATTATGTGATGTCCTGTTTACTAAATACTTTTCAAATCAAAAAGCCTTTCAATAATAAACATCTTTTGTGGCATGAGCCCCCCCTGCCGTTAGCTCTCTTTGCAAATCTAGATTTTATATATATATATATATATATATATATATATATATATATATATATATATATATATATATATATATATGTTATTTTGCCTCGCCTCACATGACTTTGTTTCTACTGGTCTGACCTTGGGCCGATGACATAAGTGCGAAGCGAATGAGTCATTGACTCTTTTTCAGCCTTGGGGTCGTGGAAGGAGGTCAGGAGAGACTAGGAACTGCTAATCCTACCCCACCCTATTCGCCATAAACTAAACAGGCCAGTTTGCTGCATCGGCCTGCAGTTTTGCCGATGCAACATGTAACAACTGCGCAGCGCAGTAGTTGCAATCTGTAATGCATGACATATTTGTTGTCCATTCAGAGAGCAGCCTGGCTCTTTCACTCTTCTCTAAGTCCCCTCTCTCACTCACTCTCTCTTTCTCTTTTTTTCTTTTTTTTTTTGTTTCTTTATCTTCTTTTATTTCTTTCTTCCCTCTCTCTCAATAAGTGTTTCTCTCTCTCTCTCGGTTTTTGAACGCTTTTAATTTAGCCATTTCTTTTTGTTTCTGTAGGTATTTTCTTTCTTTCTTTCTTTCTTTCATTTCCTTTTTTTTTCTTTCCTCATTTCTTTTTTATATAATTTCTTTATTTCATTATTTCTTTTTTTTCTTATATCATTTCTTTTCTAATTTCTCTTTTTCTTTCTTTCTTTCTTTCTTTCTTTCTTTCTTTCTTTCTTTCTTTCTTTCTTTCTTTCTTTCTTTCTTCCCCTCCCCTCTCTCTCTCTCTTTTGAACTCTTTTTTCTTCTTTCTTCCCTTTTAATTTCTATATCTTTTTTAATTTCATTTCTCTACCTCTCCCCCACACTAACTTTCCCTCTTTCTCTCTGTCTTTAGAACTCTTTCCTATCTGCTTCCATTTCTTTTTTCTCTCTCTCCCTCTCCTTACCTTCCTCTCTTTCTCTGTCTCTTTTGAACTCTTTCTCTGTTCTTTCTGTTTCCATTTCTTTTCGCTCCCTCTCTCCGTCTCTCTCTCTGTGCCTCTTTTGAACTCTTTCCTTTTCCTTTCTATTTCTCTATCTTTTTATTTCATTTCTCTCTCTCTTTCTCATCACTTTTTACAACGTTTTCTTTTCTTTTCTTTCATGTATTTTCTCTTTTTTTCACTCTCTCTCTCCCCTTCTCTCTCTCTTACTAACTTTCTCTTTTTCTCTATTTCATTTGAATTTTTTCTATTTTCTCTTTTCTTTTTGTTTCTATTTCTATATTTATTTATTTA